TGAAAACACGAAAAAAAAATATTCTGGGGGAACACAAGAGCGTTTAACTTAGAAACTGTTTTAAAAGTGTACTTTTAACCTAGTAAGAAATATTTGTATGTACCAAAAAGCAAAGGACAGGAATGACTGCACCAAATTACTGCTATTCCCTGACCATAAATCCTTTTTTAATGCAACCGCAGCACGACTAGCTTGTCTAAGACATAAATCAGCGGATGTGTGAGACCTCGAGAGAATTATCTAATCTTGGGTACCAGCCCATGCAATGCAATGTCCTGACCCTCCTCATTAGTGTTTATTTTAAAATTATGTTATTTTCCTCGCCGATTTGTGGCGTTTCCAAGCTGCGTAAACCTAACGGGCGCTTGTAACCTAGATACCGCTGAGCCTTCGAGGAAAAGAGCACTGTGTCAAGTTCACCGGTTCAGAGCCATAAAAGGCGCTCACGCCCACACAGACCCTGCAAAATAAAGCAGTAAAAAATCTAATCTGAACACACTTTATGTCCCACTGTCAACGTGCTTTTGATAGCGTTCGCAGAACGTGTTAATTATTAATTTCCCCCCCCCCATGCAACAATGTAAAGTTCAAACCTCTCATTCACAAAATAACACCTGCCACTTACTAAGTAACCATTCAGTGGCCTGAGTGCATGCTTGTGTGAGAGTGTGTGACAGTGTGTGTGTGATTCATTTGCAGGCCAAGCGGTAAACAATACAGGCTTTCCTGGAAAGCCGGCGCGATTCTGACTAAGATGAAAACAAATCATTGCCAACGAGCGGCATCACCTTCCCTCTTCAGCGGCACTGCAACACCTGAGGAGGCCAGCTGCTCTTTTTTTAACATCCTCCTTTTCCACTCACAGCGCATCCAGCCCGCATCAGTTCCACAATAAAGCGTCTCTCTCGCTCTCTGCACGCTCCCAACCAACCGGCTTCCACCTCTAAAAGCAGAAATCAAAGCCTGTTGGTAACATCAAGCGGATTTAAAGTCTGGTTTTAATATTTCAAATACTTTTAATAAAGGATGGATTTTTCCACTCCGAGGTAGTCCTTCTATGTTTATATGCAAATGGTTCATGGATCGCAGGAAAATGCATGTGTCTTCTTCTTTGTTTGTTTCTCACCTTTATTGGACAGTAACAGTGGAGAGAGACAGGAACCACCCAAACCTTTTCATCCATTTCTGTGTTACTTAATAATTAATACGTTTTGTCCTTTCTTTTTCGGACTTGTGTAGTTTATTGGGCCCCGCTTCCTTTTATTTTTATAGGCGGAAGCCCAGAAACTGATAAGGGTGCTCGCCGAGCGACCACAACCATGAAGGCTCCCTCAGTCATCACGGAGAAGAGCTCAACACCTGCCGAGGACCTGAGCTGATGTTTCTGAATCTGCGTGGGCGCTGCAGGACTCTATACTCTGAGCTCTTATCAATCCCGTGCGTGACATTTAGAGAGACAACCGCCCTGTTTGACACCACACACCGAGCACGTTAGCTCACCGCTAAGCACGAGTGTAAAACAAATGTCGCAGGCTAATGTGTTAAAGCTCCTGGCACACACAGCAATCACTCCTGTGCAAACACTCCAGCCTGTTTGCTGACCCCCTTTTTTTGTTGTTGTTGTTGTTCTTGGAAATCAAACCTGAGAATCCGTTTTATATTTCATTTTTCTAGGAAGAGATTTGTGATAAATGATATTTAATCTAACCTAATCCTGCCAATCTAGCTGCTTTAAGAAAACGAGTAAGTCCTGGAAGGGGAAAAATAAATAATAGTGCTTGCTAGTAAGCTCATTTACAGATTAGAAAAAATGGCAAACACACACACACACACACACACACACACACACACTCAGAGCTTGATTGGAAATAAGTGCAGAGCAGAAGAAAGTTGGCAGCTTTGGATCACACTGCACAACAAAGCCGTGGATCTGAAAGTCTCATTGTTCACCTCGAGAACACAGGCGCTGTTGTTTTAATTGTGACTCTAAATGAAAGTAATTGGCCTTAACGGTGATAGCGGCAGACAGTCTTAAAGACGCCTCTCCTGCATCTGCAGTTATTAGCAGAGAGATCTCCGGAGAGATTCCTCGCTCTGTAAATACTGCTGTCACACACATTTTCATGAGGGAAAAAAAGAAACACAAGGCTGACAAGTGCCGCAAGGTCAGCGTCGCATTCCTTTAAAATGTCTCCTGGCTTGCCTCTCTCCATCTCTCTCCGTCTCCCTCTTTGCGCCGGCATCCAACAAGTGCGTCTCGAAGCTGTCATTCAAACGAGACAAGCAACACCTCAAATTTGACGCCCACACTTGGCAGCGCTCTCGAGGGCCGGGATCGCCTCCTCTTGAAGGCTTTCCCGCCAGCAAACAAGACAGCGGGAAACAGCCGCTCAACAGGTATGAGTCGTAATCTCCGGGCCTCGCACAAAGAATCGCAGCTATTTCTGTGTCGGCGAGAGGTGAGCTAACAGGGGGCATCCCTCTGCACGCTTCCAGCGGAGGGGGGGTGAAGCACGCTGAGGATGCGAGAGGGAGCGGAGGGAAATTAAAAAGGGTTCATTTCATATTGTGACAGGAGCTGGTTAGTTTATCTTCTTCTATCAGCCCAGAACAGAGTGAAGCTTCCTGCCCTGGCTCCTGCTCACAGCTGGGCATCGATTCAATATCACTGTTTGCTTCGTTCTAACAGTCGCACTGCCATCAAATGATGAGTGGTGTGTTATTTCAGAGGTTTTTGGAGGAAAAACAATAAATAAATAAATAAAGAGCAGCTATTGATCGTAAAAACCCCGTGAGCCTGCGTTACTTTTTCAGTTCCTTTACCGAAGCTGATTTTTCTCGTGGAGTTCAGCTACTCTCTGCTAAGCAGACGCGGTCTAATGAAAGATATTTTGGGAAGTGAATCTACGCTCAAGAGCAAAAGGTGAGGATCGGTGTCTTGCAAGTCTCCAAAGTGCAATGTTAAATCAGCCCTTTAAGGCATCTGTAAACGTAACGATATGAGCCGCTGCGTTTAACTTTATTAACGTCCATTCACAGCCTTAACTTAAAGCTACCATAACTCGATTTGAAATGCTTACTTACCACTTTTAAAGCGTTGAAAGACCTTTCCCCGAATTATATCAACCACTCATTAACCCCTCAGGCGCCTGCGCGCTCACTTATGTTGTGCAAAAGCCTTGAGCCACCTCTGGTTTCTTTGTGTTTCGCTAGCAAAATGAGAAATAGGTGCAGTGACTTGTTGAAACACGCAAATATGCATGAAAATGCAGTTTCTAAGAGAAAAAGAGAGTTGGCTCTACGCTCAGGAGGAGTAAGGAGCTCTCAGCTTTCTTGCCTATATTTTGTCTATATTTGTGTTTTTCATGGATTCAACCAAAAATGGTGTGTTTTTGTTACAGGCTGCTAGTAACTGAACATGTTCAGGTGTGAGTCACTCTCACTGCTCAGTCATCCTCAAACAGAAACTGAAACTTATTTAAAAAACAAATAAAAACATACTTCTTTTAAAGGCTCACAGGCCTACGTGCAATTAATGTAGTTACTGAATATTATTTGACACTTGTTATCTTCCGTTTGACACTTCCACTGTCATCATTTAACGTGTCACCTTGCATAAATTAGCAGTTATTAATGTCAAAATCGTTGCTCGGGATTAGCAGTTTATTAGCTTTGTCAGCTCAGCGGATGACAATGAGTTAATGTCTGTGTGTGTGTGTGTGTGTGTGTGTGTGTGTGTGTGTGTGTGTGTGTGTGTGTGTGTGCGCGTGCAAATATTGCACAACTCTAATCCAAGTTTATAAAGGAAACACTTAGGGAAAAGGAAAGTGTGTGACCTCTCTGGCTGATCTATAGTCATCTTAAACAGCGTGCACATGTAAGGCCAAATATCCACTCTACCCTCTGTGATGTGCATCACATGTGGCGATGCTGCAGGACTGAGGACGCCGGCTGAGACTACGGCTCGCTCCGATCCCTCGGGGCCCAGCGGTTGCCCCAGCTGTGGTATTTATACTGCACACACTCCCAGGTGTATAAAGTAAACACAGCCGACGCTGTCAGGTACCGCGTCGGCCAGTGGCAGGAAGCTAACCTTTTTCATCCACCAGCTGGTCGCTAAATAATGTATCAGCTCGCGGAAGTGCAAGTGAAGGCTTCCAAAGCAGCGATCAGTCATCAACAAGGAAAAAGGGAGGCTCTTTTTACTAAGCTGATGCCGTGGACGTTTTTCTCTCGCCCCTCCGGAGCTCATTCATATTGAATCGAGACCATTAACAGTTATAAGACCAGATTAAAATGCTTTATTGCATTTGAAGCGAGCCACGATCCGCCTCTGTTCACAATCAAAGCGTTCGCATTCGCCAATACGGCAGATGTAGCAGCAGACAGATTTCCCTTAATGTGACGGCGCCGAAGGGGATACATTTTCATTAATCTGCACATGACAGGTAGTTTTTTAGGTCTCTAAAAATGGCTTTAAACAGCATCCTAGACACACCTACAATTCAGCCAGGCCCACTATAATAAAAAGGATTGCTGTTTCCACCTGCAGGGTTTCTATTTGGTGGTGTGGAGGCGAGGCAGGCATCAGTCACATCAGATATGACAATAAGTGGAAGGTACAAGAGGAGCTGGGTTGGGGGTGGGTTGCAAAGCGGCTTACAGGTGCAGTCTCTGTACTTCTGTATTTCTGAAACAACATTCACAGACTTTCTCTTTTTTTTCTTCATGTATTAAAAGTATTTAAAGCTTTTCTCTGATTTAATTCCTGTTCTGCTGCAAATACGTCGTGACTACAAGGCAGACTGATACATTAAACTCCTGGATAGTGAAGCAGCATCTGCATGCAGCTGTAGACTGTGGTATTTGTTTGTTTAACACAAGGGCAATACCAGCCGGACGCATGTGCCTGGCTTTTTACTCCTGTGAGAGTTAGAAGACTGAGCAGGCCCTTTCCACCCGGTGCATAACAGGTAAAAAGTGGTAGACAAACATCTTACCTTGGTGGCTGTGTGAAGTCATTGCTGCCAGGTCGGTCAGGCAGACGTCCACGCAGTACGGCGAGTGTGCACCCAGCTCGTCGCGTGAGCGTGTGTTCACTGAAGGACAGATGTCTGTGTGTGTTTGAGTTGAAGTACGGATGTGGTTTACAGGATGGTAATCAGGAGCCTGTTAGCCTGCCAGAGCTGGGAGGAGGAGGACAGTGTGGGTTTGAATGCGTGTTCAGGCTGATCCAACACTCGGGACGGTCAAACGGGAAACAGGAAGCAGACGTCCGGCAGCAGCCAATCTCCATTAGCTTATTGATCCGGCAACTCCAATCAGAGTGGCAACTCTCTGTTTAGCACCAACCTGTGGGAGGATGAAAAGGACAATGTTTTATTTAAACGCTTCACATAAGAGAGCGCAAAGGAGAGACACCAGCTGGCCTGTCACAGGTCGGTGCTGTGTGTATGCTGCTCCATAAGAATAAATAGGAAACCTTTTTTGCAGGAGACACGACAGCAGAAAGATGCTGTTCACATGGTTTGCACTCCCAGGACCGTGCAGCACACGCAGCATAACAGCTGAGCACACGGAACTGCATTAGCAGAAAGTTAAGAAGCAATTTCCCCATGATATCGTTTCCAAACAGCGCCGATGTACTGTAGCTACATGGACACGGTATTTTTATACAGCATATGAACCGAGGATGTCAAAGTGGGCGGGACCAGTGAAGCTCTCCTTTCTGTCACTTTAAAGTTTAACTAAACATTTAACCCCTCAGACATTTCATTCAAAGAAAACGAGCCGATTTCAACGGCACGTTTCATGTTTTTTTTACATCATAAAGTAATTCTGCTTTAAAAAATGAAAGAAATCTGCCAGCACTGCTCTTCACGGCCAAATTGTAAGAAATTAATGTGTAAAATGACAGAAAAGGTTCTGTTAGCTCAACGCCAAGACTTTCAAGAAATAAGACAAAAGGTTTTTGCTAATACACAGAAAATATCCTGGGTTTTCTTTTTCATTTGTGTTTTTTTTACTGTGAATCGTTTTAAAAAAATCATAAATTTCTAAATTAGCAAAAAACCCAAAAACATTTCTGTCATTTCACTGTTCATCTATTACTTCTTTACTTTAACAGAGCATGAATGTGTCATGAAACGCTGTGTGGCAGGCAGGAGACGAGGACTCAAAGTGCAGGACTCACAGACTCAGGGGGTGAACTCAAAATCACAGCTTTATTTGCTGGTCACAGAAAAACGAGCAAACTAAGCTGAACTGGGGAAACAATGACCTAAAACTCACACAGACACAGGGCGATCCACACAGCAAGAGGGACGACACGACACTGACTCAGAGAAACACAGGGTTTAAATACACTGGGAAGTAACGAGGGGGATGAGACACAGAAGGAGGGCACAGCTGGGAGAAATCAGAACTGACGAGACAAGGGAGCAAAGTAGGATACACTCACATGAGACACAGACCTTCAAAGTAAAACAGGAATTAGCACAGACGCAAACTAGACTAGAGGAGACAGCAACTAAGAAACACAGAGGGCAGCTACTAAATACTCAGAGAACTAAACAGAATACAAGAACACCAAACTAAGACACAACACGAAAGAACAAGCTGGGACAACAAAGAGAACTAAGAACAGAATACACAAGAAACTCAAAACACTGGGTCACTGACCCAGGACCGTGACAGAATGATTGCAGCTCTTTATAAGCTGTAAAACTTATTAAAGTCTTTGGCGGGTCTATTGTGGGCCCCGGGCCTTATGTTTGACACCCCTGATATGAACAAAGCAGGAGCGGTCCTTAAAAATCCAGTATCGGCCAAGCTCTAGTACTCTATTCGATCCAGATATTACAGACAGTTATATAAGCCGTGATATTTACTGTATTGTTATCAGGTCTGTACACAAGATGACTGCAAGGACTGCTGCTAGTATCAAAAACAACACGTGCATCCTTTAAATGCCTCTCACTCGCAGTTATTTACAGCGCTGATCTTATAGTGATGCGCCAGCTGCTGACTGAGGACATATCACTTACATTACAGACAGATTTAGCTTGGTCATCTATAATTGTTGCTATAACTCTAGCAACATGCGTTTGTAAGTAGAAGTCATGAGTTAACTACAGCTAGTAAAGCATCTTTTAGGTCTTTTATTGCATAACAACAGATTGAGGCCCAAAAATAGCCAACGCAGGTTTGCACAATTAATCCTTTCTCATACTTGCAAATAAATCAGCTGGTTAATGAACTAATGGTTTCACTTTGTAAGCAGTCTTAATAAGAATAAACAACTTTCACAATACTGGAAAGTCTTCTGGCTGCAGGGATACAAAATCCATCTTAACGCGGATTTGCAAACATTTCCAACCTTAGCAAATCATCAAATCCTGCTCCTAGAAATGCACCGGTGAGTTTTCAGAGTAAAATACAGAGTTCCAAGAAGTCAACGCAACCCCGGGTTCAATGATACACTGCGAGGAGCTGTAAACCAATCAGGCAATAAATAGCTTTTCCTTGAGATAGCGTCTTTTTGACTGAGGCGCACTGGGGATTTCACAAAACTCCCCAGTAGGATGCACTGCGTTCACGGCAGAAATTGGTGGAAAGATCCCATTAAAAAGCAAAAGAGACAATGATTCTGTTATTTGCCTGGCAGGAGGCTCTTCTTTGTTTTTTGGGAGGTAACTGATTTGTCTTCTTGTTGCTTCTGGAAATATACGATTGTTCTTTTCTTTGTTTACGGAGAGTGGCCTGGATTCCTTGGGCCCGGAGCACCGGTGTCAGATGTAATAACAGCTCAGCCCTAAAGTATCAAGTCGACTTTACTACTAGTACAAAATTCAAGGGGCCAGACTGCCCGGGGGTGAGGTTGAAAGATTTGGCCGCGGAGACACGAGGGGGTATGGGGGCAGCGCCCTTGTGTGTGTGTGTGTGTTTGCAGAGGTCTCAACCGTCCTCTGAAGCAGGATGGGATGTGCATGCAAGTGTGTGTGTATGCATTAAAAGGAAAGGAGTGGGGGTAAGGGGGGACTCTCAAGACAAGAGGGCCAGACACTGCAGCCGCAGGACAAATTGGCCCCCCCAAACCAAAAAAAAGTCGGTCACTGCACAGCTCACGCACACTTGCGCTTTGTGATGGAAAAGCAAAGCAAGGATTGGTGGAGGGAGGGCACAGGCAGGCAGGGTAGGGTGGGGGGGGCTGTGTGTGTCATGCTGACACTCCAGGGGGGCTTCATGCAACACCAATCCCCCCGGGGCATCTCATCTGTCTCGGGAGGGGTACTCATATGTGTGTGTGTGCGTGTATCCCATAGGCCATTGTCCCTAAAAATGAGCTTGCTTGATGCAGGGTGACAGATCTGGGGAGACAAGCCCTGAAGCCCAAAGTGAGCAAAGAGTGAAAAAAAAACAGAGTGATGCTTCAAAATGACACCAGTATTAGCAAAAGAGAACGCATGTAAGATAAAAATAACCCTCAAAAGAAATTTAATATGCACATCACAGCTACAGATGACAGCCACAAGCGCACAAAAAGGTGGGTACACACAGTTCCTCCCCCTTTCAGCCCAAACCCAAACTCTCAAACACGACAAACGGCTTCATTCACCTTCCCAAACTAACGTTTCCCCATAAGAACTATTTCATGCGGAAGGCGACACTTTGAATCGGCCCCTAACGCGTTGCTTTGATGTCGCTTTAACGGCTCCGTACGCCCCCATTCACAAAAAAACAGAAAGATTGACGCATGCAGAGAATTACCACCGCCCATCCCGAACCATTCACACACACTCACACACAAACACACACTCACGCGGGCCCCTACCTTCATTTCAAGCAATTTTTCCCTTCCTCGCCATTAGCACGGGGAAAAGCGACAAAATGCGCACGAGCTCCGTGTTTTATCGCGTTAGTCTTTGGCTCTATAAATAGCTCAGCAACAATCGGCATAATAAACACCGCCTGCCCCCCCACACACACACATACACTCCTCCTGCCTCTCCCCCCTTCTCCCCTTGTTGCCAACACACTTCCCGCCCGCAAATAGTGCAATAAAACCGTGAAGGATATTTTGTAGCTAAATCGTTACAAGTCGCAAAAAGAAAAGAAAAGAAAAAAATAATAATTTCTACCAGGATTCAGATGTGACTCAGACTCCGAGGGGAGTCGTTTAAAACGTTCAATCGCAAGCGAGAGGGCGAAAGCGAAGATGAGCGGAGTGAAAACTTCAGCCGGACATGGTTTTTCATGAAGCCTGCCCGTGCATCGCATCCCTGCCTTGGATATCAACATCAAAGCGAGGCTACACATTCAGCCACAGCGGCCACAGGCACACCAAAACAGCTCACCTATACACGGGCCGGGAGGAGGCCAGTCGTCCCAGCATGTGTCCCAAAGCGGCTGGCCTTTCTTAAAAAAAAAAAAAAGAAAAAAATCTCTCCCATGTTAGCACTCCGAGGCTTTTTTCTCCTCTTTTCCTCAACGCAGGAGGAGGGGAAGAAAAAAATCATCTCCTGACAGATTCCGCCATACTGGATTTTTGTTACAGCCCCAGCGTCACATGGAGCGCCCCTGCATTCACCAGAGGCGGGGTCAGGCTGATGAAAATGTGATCATCTACGAGCAGACAGCGTGGTATGTGTGTGTGTCTGTGTGTGTCTCTGTATGTGTGTGTGGCAGGTTGGATAAATGCTTGTGATTATGGCCGAGGAAAATAACTTTTTCTGGGGCGTGTCCTGTATTGTAATATCCGTGCATGCGGTTCCCCGAGCGTCACATACGCGCATTACCATGTTTTTATAACTTTGTGCAGCTTTATGAGCCAGCTATAGATGTGCATGCACACACTTTCCACTTTTACTGCGTTTTTATGGAATCACGGGATCATTATCCCCTTCCTGTAGTGCACTATAATTAGACACTGTTGCAGTTTGTTGCATCCCCCCTCCCCTAAAATATTGCTTCTAAATGTTGGGATTTATTATCCTTTATTTTATTATTACTATCCTGAGGCACCTATGCTACCTTATGGCATTTATCGTGATGGTCTGCTCCACGTGATCACAGCTATATATAGCCTGCACATCTTCAGGCCAAACGTTTATGTGTTTATGTGGATGACGACATGTGCATAGACATATGTGCGTACGTATCTATGTTTAGTTATATATGGGCATGTGTGTGTGTTTAATTTTATGCACGGTGAGGAAGCATCATCATTTTGTGATGCTTGCATAATGGCAATAAAGAGTCTTGGATCTTTCATTTTTCTGGGTTGTGATCATTAATCTGTTCTTTCGTGTTCTGCTGATTGACTTCTATAAATGACTTATTCTAAAAACCTTATCTTAGTTTATAGAAGCTTTATCTGCCTTAGTGTCATTACTACACTCCAAGAAGGTTCTAGTAGTAGCAGTACTGCAGTGCTATTGCAGTAGGCCAATAGAGTTTTAAACTGGTATCTGAGCACTTATGTAAAAGCAATACTTGTTGCTGCAACAGAACAAGAAAGAGCTTGAAGAACACTGATGTCAGTCTGTAGACTGAGTTCCAGTCAGTGTTGACTGACATCAAAAGCAGAAAGAGACCAAATCCTCAACAGTAACCGAACATTTCATAATGCGTCATTAATCTATTTATGTAGTAATTACTATGTGACAGCAGTTTTCTGCCTGTAATATTTCTAGCCTTACTTCAGTTGCTCAACGGCAGCAAAATGGAACAAACATTTTTATCCAATTCCTGTGCATTGCAACATGAAACGCCCTCCATGCTGCCTGCTCTAATCCAATATGCTTTTATTTCTATTACTCTGTATTTGATTGTGCATCTCAGCAGCCACCCACAGGCAAACCTGCAACACTACTGCCTGCCTCAGCTGACTCAATTACTGTAATATGCTAACCAGTCTCTATATAGGCTGCATCTGAGGGCGGAGACAGCGTTATTATTCACCCAGTGTGAGTAGACTACAGAGCTCTGCTATGATTTCAGTCTGCTCTAATAACCCTGAGGCTGCTCCGGTGGCTCGCTGAAGTCTGCGGAGACGCTTTGGAAAGATTTGATTCTGAAGTTGTTATTCAGGAAAGGAAAGAAGCTCATTTTTTATTTTCATGAACATTGCTCCAACACAAATATTTTCAACATATTTGAAGGAGAAATGTTGATTCAAAATTTTCTGAACTTGTCTCCCAGGCTGTCATGTGACGTGCAATAATTTTAGCCGTCACATCAAGCAACTAAGCCATTATTTATCTAGTATGTAGATGTTTTGAATTTTCCCAACATGACTGAACTGTCAATATGTGGGTCAAGTTAAAATCTAACCCTACCTCCAGGTTTTATATGGCTCCAGGCTTCATCAGTAAAGCACCTGTTCTAAACTTTTTTACCCATTACCTTGAAGAACTACACTCATCGGCCACTTATTGCCATGTACACCTGTTCAACTGCTTGTCAGCACAAATGTTTTATCAGCCAATCACATGGCAGCAACTTCACAGAAGATAATGCACAGCGGCTGGGACCTTAAAGCACACGGCTACTGCAGCAGAAGACCACACAGGCTGCCACTACTGTCAGCTAAGAACTGGAAACTGAGGCTTCATTTCACACAGGCTCACCAAAAGTGCACAAATTAAAGACTGAAAAAAGTTCTTTATTTCTGCTGTGACAGGTGGTAGGGTCACAATTTGGCAAAGACTAACATGAAAGCATCTATGCTGCATCAACAGTTCAGGCTGATGCTGCAGTAATGGTGTGGGGACATTTTCTTGGCACACTTTGGGTCTCTTACTATCAACTGAGGATAATTTAAAGGTCACAGCCTACCTGAGTATTGTCCCTACCGTGTCACACCTTTGTAACCACAGTGTTGTGACTGTTACACAATATATGTTAAATGTGTTAAATTACTCTACCTTTTATTACTTTTACCTAAGCTCAATTATAGTTTCGTTCCAACTAACAGGCTTTTCAGATAGGGCTACTTTTATTTAACACATTCCTTCTTCCTCTTTCAGTTTATTTGCACCATTTATAAATTTAAAGTACTTTTAATATTGGCTATTTGGCTAGCATTAACAGTTAGCCTACTTTTACCTTAGCCCGCTATTTAATGCGTTTGTTTGTTTTTTGTTGAATTATTCACGTGTTACATTTTCAAACATAATTAATCAACAGTTGCAAATTTCAGTCTTTCGCTCCTTTTAGGTAATTCAGTTGATTATGTGTATAATTTACACACAATCAACTACTTTATATGTTCTTCTAGCTGGCCTGCTATTTAGCATGCAATATTTTTTATCTAATATTAGTGTAACTATTTTAGCAAACATACACAAAATTTGTCACATGCTTTAAATTATTATGTATTTTTCTATTTTGTCTCCAAGTAATTTATAATAATTTAGAATTACATAGCATCATACTGGTAGTTTCTTTTATCATTAATGTTGGATGGAGTTGGTTCATTATCATTTTTCATTCACTCTCCTCCTCTACAGGGAGATCAGAGGTCAGGGTCCACCAGCAAGTCCTCGCCTTGCTCAAGGGCACCTCAGCTGGGGCAGATGCTTAATTGCCCCAGCTGACCTTCTCTTTCTCACTGTCAAGGTTTTCACTGCCGTCAGTAGACCTTCTTTATTAGTTTTAACTCGGGCCAGCTTTGTGCTGCTCCACTACGACTTGCATTTATTAATCAAGGTCGCTCCTCCTTTGCAGCAGGCCCCTGAGGGACAGCTGTATCCATAGCAACAAAAGATGATCATTTAGGGATGAGCTAGGGAGTTTCAGTTACGTAAGGCAGTCGGACTTGGAGGCATCTCTGATATGCTCGTGTAAGGTCTTTGGAGCTGTTGACCTTCTTTCTCTTTATGTATGCAGACATAAGATACATTTACCATCTAATTACAGAACTTAGACATGACTTTCCAGTTTAATTAATATCTTTCAGGGCCAACTGCAAAATCATACCTTTCTCTACGATATAAAAAATAAATAGAAAATAGAAAGGCAACTACCAAAAGTTTTTTTTTTTTTTAAAGTCAAGTTAAGAGTGAAAAATAATGCTAATGGCTGGTCTGACTAAACGTTTGTGCCACAGTCTATCCAGTAGTTTATTACTTTTGTCTTGAGCAAAATGACACGTTTTGTTGGTAGCTGAGCAAATGCAACGAATAAACAGCTTTAAAAGTTGTGTTAATAAGAAGAATCATGGCTCTCGGTATATTTGGAAGGTAATATGCCCTCATTGTCTCATGCTCTGCACAAAAGCACAGAGTTTATACTCGTGTTGTCAGGGAGCACAAATTGCTCTTGGACATCTGCATCTGTATTGTTTGTGTACAAGCTTTTGCTGACGCAGACATGCATAAAACAGTCAAAAGTGCGTGTACGAGCAAGTGTGTGAGTGCGTCCAGGGCAATGATGTCAAAGCAGGGATTAGATTGGCTTATATTGCCCAGAGCAGCACATTTGCAATTCAGCGAACACACTCGAGTTGCCAAATCACTGATTGTGTTAACTGTTTTGCATCCAGGGGAGTAGCCATCACCTCCTTCCACTTTAGAGTTTAGGTCATGAGTGCTTCTTTGGAGCATGATGTGTTTAAAAGCATCGGTCCAAAGAACCTTACATGGTTCTGGCTAAAAACACAGATCCTGAGTTATGTTGTTCCAAAAATACACCATGTTTTTTGGCCAGAGGCTGGGAAGAGGAGTAGTAATCAGGCTAGAAAGTCAACAGGCTGGTGAGCATGCAGGGCCTGCGCAAACCTCGGCTGTGCTACCACAGCAGACACATCACACACGGGCTGTAGACCAGACCACTTGCAGTGCACACACAACTGGCTGTTAGTGGTTTGTGAAGGGAAGCCGTCGTCTCACCCAGCGCGGTCCCACATGAGTCAGTCGCAGCGTGCAGACAAAGCTCGCAGACCTCAGTGTCATAAAGAACCTCGGCAGCCATGGAGAAAGCGCTTCTGAACATCTTCACACCGCATTTGGCAGCGTGTGATCGGCCTGCGCAGCCACAACTTCTAACGTATCGGTGGAATTATGGCGTTTGCAAAAAAAAAAAACATCAGGCCCTTCCAGGTTTCCTTGAAACAGGAGCGTTTAAGAGAGAAAAGAGAGCAAATGAAGCCATAAAGAGTTCTTGTTAAAAAGAAGCAGAGCCGAGGCTTCTTACAGTCGAGCCAGTTAGTCTAAAAGTTTCCATCAAAGCCCCGCTGAGCTGCATGGAGTAATTACTTCTCACACAGCAACAGCTCCCAGGCCTTATTACTGATACTGTTTTTATGTGCGTGTGCATGTGTGTAAAAGGTGCATGTACTGCACGCGCTCACTCGTGGCAGACGAATATGCCTCCATGTCCCATTCAGGCAGAGTGTGCGTTTCCATGTGTGTGCCTATAAAGTAATAGCACCCCAGATTGTCCTGCTTTTTACACATAAACCAGCTTGCTGGGGCGATAAACTGAGAAATGTTGTTCTGACGGGTCGCTCTCGGTCTTAGCTGTCCTGATGACGGCAGAGGGGAGCCCACCCAACATGATGTTCCAGAGCATCTGGGTGTTAAAAAAACAAAAAGCAGACTTAAAAGCCTTTCTGAAGAGCACTCCTAGCAAGAAGAAAAACAAATCAGGCCATCTATTGGCACAGTTCCCAGTTCACAAGATAAATCTGAGATATTGTGAGAATCAATAAAGTAACTGGTCTGATCATTTTTGGCTTTTTGGTGGTTTCAAATTGGAGCCTTTGACTAATTCTTCTGACATGAGGTCAAATTGACTTATTTTCCTACTGAGCAGCAGCGCTCATTAGCGATCCACATGATTTTCATAAGCAGTCCATGACATATGAGCTGTAGAAATGCCTGCCTTCTCTTGAACATGATAGAACCACTGTGTCGTTTTGTTTCATGCTGGCATGCTTAACAGGCAAACTCATCATGGTGAGCATGTTAGGATGGAGTGGACATGGGCTGCTATATACGCTCACTGACCACTTATTTAGCTCCACTTGCTCCGCTGTTTATTAGCAGCGGTGTCGAATCAGCCAATCGCATGCCAGCAACTCCATGCATGTGGGCATATAGACATGATCAAAACAATCTGCTGAAGTTCAAAGTGAGAGTCAGAGTGGGGAACAAAAGTGATTTTTACATTACTTTTAATGCGATATGCTTGATATTTTATACATGGCTTTGTTTTTGTGAACCTACATCCATTCCCAGTGTACAGTCACATTTATCTCAATGTGCAGGTTTTTGGACAGGAGGGGGAACCCAAAGAGCCCAAAGGAAACTGACTTGGGCATAGCAAGAACATGCAAACTCCACGGCAAAAGGTCCCAGCCCACGAAGAGAGAGATTAAAACCCACAACCTTCCTGCCGCGGCGCCTCCGTAGGCTCTTACGTTTGTAGGCTCTTACGTTTGCTTTTTTGAAAAGCAAATGATGTCTAAACACTACATTTCCATCTGAACTGTAGTGAAGTGGGAGCATGAAGCAAACTGTGTGTCCAGCAATTCACGTAGCCGGTTGCTTTCCACCGCTGGTGACGTTTCACCTTGAAACCACAACCAAATATCCTGCCCCCCGGCGAACAGGAGCTTGTGGAAAATCTGTCTGTAACCTCGAAACATGTGCTAGTAGCGGCGAGAACACAGGCAAGGCTGCAGAAAGTTTCTTTGCAGCTTATGATTGATGTTTCAGTGAACATCCTGAGACTGCATCGCATGTTTTTTTGAGGTCATGTGCTATTTCCTGTTGCTCCTGACCAAAGACTGTATAAACAGTCTAGCAGTAAGCCTGTATATCCACCATCCCAGACTTTATTCAGTTGTATTGTCAGTATTTTCATTTAAGGACCACATGGGATTGAGAAACTGCTAAGCCTCAAAGAATTTCTACCTGCTCTTTTAAAAGGGGAAAAAATCAGTAGTTGCCATATTTTGGTATGAGAATGCGTTAATTTGATTACACTGGAAAATATCACCTCTTGGAAGAGCATTTGCATCATCCTTCCAAAAACAGATGTCAAGCAGCTGCACTAAAAACGTCCAAAAATGGGATTCATATTGCCAATTTAATCTGACAGCGTTAGAAGAAGCACATAACCAAAGATTATGCACGTAGGAGTCGAATGAAGTTCTTTTTATTGGCCTGACAGACCGAAAAAAAAAAGAAGAGAAAACAGCAAAAATGGATTTGAGAAATAAAGCAGCTCCGACCGGCGTTGTAACTAATGTCATCGAACTTTCCAGGGAGAGAAAGCCTCTTCCAGCGTTAGTCATAACCCAACAGAGAGTTTATAAATCTCTCGCCTGCTGCAGATTTAAAACGTCTAAATAACGTACACCCTGATATTTCCACATCTCGCCACCACATCATGAGATGGCTGTATTTTTCCAGGAGAAAGCTTGAACACGGAGGGCCCGGGCAGCCAGTAAAACTTATTTGGGCATGCAGTCGCCGAGTCCTGCCAGCAGCATATAGCAAAAGACATAAAACTCCAACCGAAAGCCTGATGTAGACAAACTGTGCTAAGTGTTCATAAAATATCTCCAGCCAGGGAATGTTTGATGGAGGGATTAAGGACGGGAGAGAGGAGCTCCTTTTAAAATGAGCAGACCTGCTTCGAATGCTTTTCCTGTGGTGTTATTGCATTCTGACATATGCCTTCTCTTTTAATCACAGATAGAAAAGGGAGCTTCCGATAATTCCCAAAGCGCACGGAGGTCAGAGGTCAGGCTCAGCGTACGTGAAGCTGATGGGAATTGGGCCTTGTACTTCTTCTCTATGGCACCTCTTTTAGGTTTGAAGGCTCAAAAGCAGGGAAGCCAATCGCATTTTACATAGTAGGCCACACATAACCCACCTTGATCTCAAGTGGGCTGAAGTGGTGAAACTGCCCTTTCAGTCAGTGTAAAGAGATTTAACTACACATTAAATGCCAGAGATATCTTAATATAAGAAAAGGAAGTGTAATTTCAACAGCATGTCTCAGTTTTTCCACACGATAAAGAAATCTTGCTTCAGGTAATGAAATAAATCTGCCAGCATGACTCTTTGGGTATACAGTGTAAGAAATAAATGTGTAAAATTACAGAAAAAGTTCTAGTATCTCACTGCCCAGACTGTCCTGTAAGTATAAAATAGAAAGTCCTAATATAAAACTGTGCTACCACGACAATAACAATAACATCACAAATTAATTTTCCGGCAAATCAAAATCTTGCTTCACCTCCTGAATTAAGCGTTTCACTAGAAGGCAAACTGAGGTCTAATCATGCAGGGAAATAAGTGAAAGGACAATCGGTCAGGGCTGATTATACAGCTACAATGAGGAACACGCCACTGCGATGTTTTATGACACCAAAGATTGTCCTTACAAGGATGTTTGACTTTGATGTTTCTTACAGAAAAATTCTAAAATGTGTAAAATATGAAATGTGCCGCTGATGAAAATTAAGAATGGGAAATAGTTGTGCTACAACAGGATCACAATATTTAGTGTCTATCATGATAAAGTTATTTTGTGATACTCTATACATTATAAGACAGCAGCATCATCTGTGTGACAGGGAAAATTACACTTGTAAAATAGCAAAAAAGAGAAAGAATGTATTAAGTTGCTGCATTGTGTTATTAAAGTGTGCTTATTTTATCATCATAACAGTTTTAATATTGGATTTTACTTAATATGGTGTCAGTGCAATTAATCAATCCTCTGAATCACTTTTCATTTTATTTTCTTTTTTTCTACTATAAGTCAGTTCACTTTACTTTCTTTCCCCAAAAGGAGTCATGAAGTTCTAATTCTATTTAGGCAAACTGTTAATATTTGGCATATCAGTAATAAGGACACAACTGAGCAGCTAATAAAATAAATGAATAAACAGATTCACAGACAAGTGTAATTTAGAAAACAGTAAATAGTTATTTCTGAGGATTTAGGCTGATTAATTTGTTTTAAATACGCAAATATCTGTTTTTGGTCTGTTTGTATAGAGACTTTAAATTTGGGATTATCTAGTTTTAACATAAACCACGTAATACTCTGAATGCAGTGTATGTTAGTTAGTTAAACATATAACAGGTAACTGCTGTGTTTCATTAGCACATTTTAACTGTTTGTTTGTTACCCATCTATTTGTATGTATTTTTAAATAGAGATTTGATTTTAATATGACTAGAATATACTTGGATAGTAAAACAACATTTCTCACATAGTTAGTATTACTGTCAAATATTGGTCATATTTTTTTCTTTGAAACTGACGAATCATGAGTAGTCCCTCGAATGTGGTTCAAATTATTATAAGGCCTAAGAATGATTGCGTTGTATTACAGCTACTACTTACACTGATGCGACTACCACTAGAGATATTTTAAATAAAATCTTTATGAGAATTTTAAAACAGTAAACTAGGTAGAGATACAAAATTAATTGACCTAATTTTGGATCTACAGACGTTTTAATCATTTATTTTCAAAAAAACTTCTATTAATACAGTGTGTTGTGTCACCATGACCATTAAAATGATTTTATTTTATCATTTCATCCATAGAAAATTAAGTAAAAACTAAACTTAACTTAATATAACTGTACAAATAAGTGTTCTCAGACAAGATGCCCACGGGGACTTTACTATATAATTACTTGTATTAAATTATTAATTTTAAGTTTGCTAATCCTGCCGGTCAGCCAATATTTTCCCGCCAGGTTGTGTAACTTTGCCAATGGCGCCATCTTGCGGATTACATCGTGAATGACGCTTTATGCGAGCGACTCCCCTACGTCATAAGTATGCGCCAGTCTCTCTAATCTCGACAACGTGAAGAAAACATGGGAGTCCGTTTTCCTTCTGACAGGTAGTTTCTTCTTTCTGAGGTCCTCGCGTCACTTAAACCGACGTTAGAGAGTCAGAGTGTCATTTTCAAGCTTACTGGGAGCCGCAGAGCGCGAGGCCGTTCAAAAGTCACGTGAACCGGGCTTTTTTGCGGCTGTTTTGCTAGCAGCATGGACAACTCCGAGGAAAGTGCCATTGAGCTCCACGGAGATGAGGAAATTATTGAAGTCATCGACCTGAACGACACGGAGCCTGGCCCAGGTGGGTTTCGGCAGCACCCGTCTCCTCTCCCGTGACAGGCGGGACAAGAGCAGATATAGATCAGGTGACCGTCGTGTGCTGTGCTTTTTGTCTCGTAGATGATTTGGCTGATGACTTGGAGGACGTCGACTTCGATGACGCTGGAAACGCAGGTGATGACAATGACGGCTGGGAGACTGAGGACGAGATGGAGGCTGAGGCAGAGCAGGACGACAGCGATCTCACCTTCAACAAACACACCGGTGAAAAGCTCCCTCGTGTCTCTGCTGCTGCTCTCTGATTGCTCCTGGCTGCTTAAGGTTTAAAAGGTCTGACCCTTTTTCTTTCTTTCTTTTCTGTCCAGGCTCGGTGTTCTGTGTGAGTTTGGACCCAGCGACCAACAGCTTGGCTGTGAGCGGAGGGGAGGATGATAAGGCCTATGTTTGGAGGGTGAGCGATGGGGAAGTTCTGCTGGAGTGCACAGGTGAGTGTAGAGCTCAGAGGGTTGGATGATTTAGGGAAATCACTGTAGTGAGCTGGAACCAAAGACAAAGGCGTTTGTTTAGGCAGGGGGTAGATTGGGGGTGATCACATAAAGCTTTCTACCATGGCAAGTAAAACATAAGCACCAGCACAGCATGGTTAAAATCACAAAATGTTTAGTTACAGTGTGATTTGGCTTCATTTGTGGATGCAGGTGAGGAGCAAACATGGGAGTCTTTACAAAAACTCTTCCTGCTTTTCCAGACTTAAAGACAATCCTGGTATTCTCAAATGAAGCAAAAACAAAAGAAAATGACAAAAAACAGGGTAATTAGCATTTCTAATTACTCTGGGAAATGGGCATCTGCAGATGCCAACAAGGGTTGCATCAGTTTGGGGCTGGCTGTGGCTCAGAAGGGTGAACAGGTTCTGGTCCAAGTTGGTCAAGATACTGAACCCAAAGCTGCTGCTGGTGCATCCATCAGAGTGTGAGTGAAAGAAAATCCTCGAAGGCACAGACTGAAGCTCTGTGTGAATGTGTGTGAGAATGGCTCAATGTGGCTTTGTGTGCTCTTCTAAAGTAGAAACGCACTAGTGCATTTATTTGCATAGCGTGAGCGCTGTGTTGACATCAACCATGTGTGAAATGTGTCCACGCAAGCATTTTCAGATTGTTTACATAAAGATGTGGACACACTGTGATGTCCCAGATGGGCAGGACAATGGCCAAAACAGGAAAAAAAAAATCATGCTCTTTGCCCTCTGTGCCTACACAGGTCACAAGGACTCAGTGACGTGTGCCATGTTCAGCCATGACTCCTCCCTGGTGGCATCCGGAGACATGAGCGGCTTGATTAAAGTCTGGAAAGTAGAAACTAAAGAGGAGTGTGTTGTGAGTGGTGAGTGTGAGAGAGTGTGAGTGTGTGTGTGTGTGAGTGTGTGTGAGTGTGTGAGTGTGTGTGTGTGGTGTGTGTGTGTGTGTGTGTGGTGTAATAGCTGTTGCTTTCTATCTCAGTGGTTGGAGTGGCATCCCTGTGCTCCAGTGCTGCTAGCGGGAACGAATGATGGCAACATGTGGATGTGGAAGATCCCCGCAGGAGACTGTAAAACCTTCCAGAGTTCGGCCTGTCAGGCCACCAGCGGCAAAGTCCTCCCCGATGGTGAGAGATGGGATACAAAAAGTCACCCCACACAGTACCCCCAAAAACCTGCCCACTTTTAACCACAGTTAGAAAACTCTGTGTGAAAGCAGCTCTTGCCGTTATTTTGTATGCTATAATTTTATGGATGTGGTTTTAAATGGATGAAACTGTCATTTTGTGCACTGTTTTACCTTTAATGCCCCTCAGTCCTCAAAAGTCTTGTAATTTATATATTTTCTCTTCCAGGTAAACGAGCTGTGGTGGGTTATGAGGATGGAACAGTACGCGTGTGGGACTTGAAGCAGGGAAATGCTATCCACGTCATTAAAGGTGGGTCTCACACATGGTTTCTTTTTATTATTAAGGTGATTTGTGAGTTTAATAAATCAGAAAACATAGTAAGTTATATCTTGATTATAGGAAATTGATGGCCAGATGACAGAGGTGTGTTTATGAAAGAGGGTGTGTTATTGTTAGGGGTGGGTATCGTTTAGGTTTTATCTGATACAGTACCAAACCGGTACTTTTGAAACTATGCCGGTGCTTAAACAATGGAAGAACACAAATTGTCCAAAAACCTCTCATGTTCAGCTGTTTTTTGTAAAAAGATAACAATGTTAGCTTTTCTGCAGCTATGGGGATATATGGTATCACTCTTGGCTGGAAGCAGTGCTTAAACAATGGAAAAAACACAAACTTTGTCCAAAAACCTCTCATGTTTAGCTGTTTTCCACTTTTTCTTTGGTCATTTTAGCCTTTTTGGCCAGGGTGAAGGGAGTATCTGCCATCAAACAAGAAGACAGCCGCATGTAGCTATGATGATGTTTGCTAGTTCACCTTACATGCATTAATGTAATAACGTGGTTAGCCTACTCAACGTAAATTACACACGAACAACATTAAGCTACTCACGCAGAGAAGAACGGCTGCTGCTGCATCATCATCCTCATCATTTCTGCTACACTGGCAGGGCTAGGGGCCAGGACTCTCCTCTTCGGGTTTTTGGGGGATGTTGCTAACTCCGGGTCGATAACAGGCAACCACACCCGCAGTAGATGTGCTCGGTGTGAGGTCTCGCAGCAAGCTATCAAATACGGCGCATTTCTCGGCTTTTAAAAAAACGCTATGCGTCGCCAGGTGTTTCATCGGATTCGAGGTGTTACCTCCTTTGACAGTATCACAGTATCAGCTTAAAGCACTTGTTGCTGCTGAGTTTGCATCTTTTGCTGTGAAGTACAGCCAGACTTTGACCGCTTCGCCTTGGGCATTTTTAATCTGTAGCTCTGCTCTAAAAGAACGTACGTACCTGGACCCGCCTACTATCTCGCAAAGGTAAAATGATTGGCTAGAATCTAAAGTGTATACAGCTCAGGAAATAAAGCACCGAAATGTGCGCTGCTTTTCATCTGGTTACTACCGTTTATGTCAGAATCGGTACCCATCCCTAGTTATTGTGCATGTTATGGTGCTGTTATGACTCCAGGGGGAGATGCAGCTGGCTTTAGTTTAATAGTGTAGATTCTGGATGAAAGGAGTCTCGGTGCTCTTTCCCACATTAAAGTTACATATAAACAGATGAAAAGCAATAAAGGTAGCAGAGCATAATACAGATTTGTTGAGTTATGGCTCAATAAAAAGAAACAGCAAAACTAAGGTCTTCTGTAAATAAATTTGTAGCTCGTATTTGGAGAAAGTTGTTTAACATGTGTAAACAGTTGTAAACAACGAGGATGAGCAGCAGCAGTAAATGTTGATCATAATTCTTGGTTTAAAACAACAGTACTGTGTGAAAGTCTTTTATCTTCTTTCAAGCAGCCACACTTTCTTGTCATTTGTCTTGAGCAATAGTTTTTCTTTGGACATTTTTTTTCCTCACTCATTTTCAGTCCAGTCTTTGTCCCTGTCAAGAAGAATTTTTCCAAGCCCCTCATCACTGAATGATTCAAACATTAAAAAAACGCCGCTCACGCAAGGGATGAACCCGTTCTACACGTCCTTTATCTTTAGTCACTTTGTTACTAGCAGTGTCTCACAGAAAGGCATCAGTTGTTTTATATCTGTGCCAAAGATGATAAAGCTGGAGACAAACATAAAATAGTAGTTTTTGCGCCAACAAGGCGATTCCCAAAGAGCTATTAGGCGACTGTTTGGTACATCTCAGCATGGTGTGCAGTGTGTCCTATAAATTTAAGAAAACTTTCCAAGTGGAGGATGGAAGTGGCAGGCCAAAACAATCCTCTACAGCAGACAAGCAGCATGTGGAAGTCAAGAAAGTGAACGTGAGAGAAGTGGCAGGTCTTACAGAGTGAGGCATCCAAAAGGACATCAGGCCAAAGATACAACAGTGAGTGTCTGCAGCCGTCTGTAAGACACGGTAGAGGCCGTCTCATGGTTTGGGCTGCATTTGCTTTTCTATCTTGAAAGCCTCTTTTTGCCAAGAACTTCATTTTCCAGCACGGCAGTGATCCAAACATGGCAGTGCAGTAAAACCATACCTGTGTGGAAAAACATAGTGGAATACTATCAGTCATGGATTGGCCTCCCCAGAGCCTGGACATCAACAGTATTGAAGCAGTGTGCATCATGTTGACACAGAACAGATTGTTTTTACCGGTTTCGTTTTTCTTCTAGCAGAATATACAGAAGTGAGCGGTGCTTCAAGACGTTTACTGAGATGCATGTAGTTTATGCTGTTTGTCTCCTAACAGGTCAGGATGGACACCAGGGGGCGCTAACCTGCCTGGCTTGCAATAAGGACGGCTCTCTGATGCTGACAGGTTCAGTGGACGGCTGTGCAAAGCTCATCAACATCACCACGGGAAAGGTGGGTGCCTCAGCCAACCAATACCAAGCAGGCAGGAAGTGTAGTGAAGCAGGTGCTTCCTGTGTCTGACCTACGTGTCTGTGTGAAGGTGGTCGGCGCGTTCTCTGTGGAGGGAGGCAAAGGAAAAGGCTCCAAAGATGAAGAGGAATCGAACTCTGTGGAATCTGTGGGATTCTGCAACATGTGAGTGGGCTGCACACTCGCAGTAATACAGAAGCATATCAGAGCCTCAGCCCCTCCTCAACAGTTTCACCTTTGTCGCCCTTTCCAGCCTGCCGCTCATCGCTGTCGCGTACTTGGACGGGACTCTGGCCATATATGATCTCTCCACGCAAGCCCTGAGGCACAGATGCCGTCACGAGGTGAGAAGCGGCAGACGGCGGCACAGTTTGTGCACGTTTAGTCTGGTCCCGCCTGTGTTCATGCTGGTCTATGCTCTGTGTATTGTGGGGAGGCTTTGCAGTCATATCAGAAACCCTCCCAGGGTTAGGGAGGTTTGTTTGAAGGGATGTTGCTTGTGTGCAGATAATGTGGCAGAGAACGTTCAGTCAGGAAGTCGTTCTTTGACAGTTTACCGAAAAAGGAGCTAAAAACATCAACTCTCTTTCCTCCAGCCTGTAATAAGCATTTACTCTTTATGTTGCTTTAAAACTGGTGTTGGTGTCGCCTTTGCCTGTTTTTCATCGCTCTTTGTGTTCCTCCAGGCTGGCATCGTTCACCTGCAGTGGGAACAGTCTTCTTCTGTGGTGTCCACCTGCAGTTTAGACGGCGCGCTGCGCTTATGGGACGCTCGTTCAGGCAACATGGTGGCTGAGTACAAGGGCCACACCGCAGAGATCCTGGACTTCACCATGAACAGGTATGATTCCACAGCACACTGCCAGGACTGTGTGCCCTGCTCAAGGGCACTGAAGTGCATTAGAAATTAGGGATGTGCAGAAGTAGTCTTTCACTGGGAGGCACCAGCAAAGCTAGTTATTCTAATTTTGTGAATGCAGAACACAATTTCTGGCTGTGAGAAAGTCTTTCTCCTTCCTGATTTAGTTTTATTCTTTTCTCTTTTTTTGCATATTTGTCACACTTACATGTTTCCGATCATTAAAAATGTTGTTTATGAGTCAAAAATAACTCTGACAAAGTGCAGTAGGCTAAAATATCCCAAAGAAAAGCTACAATCCAGAGAAACAGCTGAGAAACGAAGTCATTTACCTCTCAGTCTGGAAAGGGTCTTACATTTCTCAGGCTTTGAGGCTCCACTGAAACACAACAAATGGAGAAAGCCTGGAACAGCAGTGAACCTTCCCAGGAAAGGCCGACCTGCCAAAGCTACTCCAAGAGCACATCAACGACTCAACCACGAGGTCACAGAAGAGCCCAGAACAACATCTAAAGAACTGCAGGCCTCACTGGTCAGTTCATGATTAAACAACAAGAAGAAGACTGGATAAAAATGGCTGCTTCACTGGTTCAGGACGACTTGCTGTAATTGATGCAACCATGAATTCTACCAGAAAATCCTGAAGGATGAACTGGGCCAGTAGGTCATGCTCTGAAGCTCAAGTTTACTGATGGATCGTTGTTGCACTCGTGTTACGCAGCAGAACAATGTGAAGCACAGCAGCTCGTCTGCATCTGAATGGCTCAACGAAAAAGCCAGAATGAAGGTTTTGGAGTGGAATCGAAGTCTGGACTTGAATCAGATGCTTTGGCATGACCTTAACCGTTCGTGCTCGTAAACCCTGTAACTCAGCAACTCAGCAAAGACCTGGATGTCCAACAGTAATGGGTGATCACAGAATCATTTCCATGGTGGAAAGAAACCTCTTCACAACAGCCCACCAAGTGAACAACCCTCCAGGAGGCAGGCGTATCCAAGTCTACTGTAAAGAGAGAAGACTGCATGAAAGTAAATACAAAGGATTCACTGCAAGGTGCAACAGCTCATGATGCAAGAATAGAAGGCCTAGATTTGACTCCCCTATAAAGGCCAGCACAGTTTGGGAAAACCAAGAAAAGCTGTACCAGAAGGTGTGGAACAGCTCATGATCCAAAGCACACCACATCATCTGTAAAACACGGCGCTGGGAATTTCCCACCCTCCCACTGCATGCTGATGTTTTTGATGCTGCTCTTCTCCACTCTGGCTCTCCCTGTGGAAATCCAGAGGTGAAAAGAGCAGCAGAAAGACCCCACAGCGCACAGCTGACGTCATTGATGGCAGATTGTACTCAGCAGGAGGAGCAGATGATGTGGTTTGTAAAGCTACTTGAAGATGCATATCAAATTACATCACGAGTCCCCCCAGTATGAGGTTTTGCAGTTAAAAGCACTGAGATCAGCTCCAGGATTACACATGAGCGTGAGCTTGAGCTGCTTGAACGACTGCTGTCCCTTATTGTTTCATCCACCCCCCAAATCCCCCCGTGGTGACGAATAACTCAATAACGTTGCAACACAAAACTTTGTTAAATCACTGAACTACTTATAATAAAAACCCATGTGAACTCAGCCAACTGTGAGCAGGGTTCAAGTAAATATTTACTCTTTGTTTCCACTGTCTCTTAATCACATCCTGGCTGTCCTCGTGTCTCCGCAGGGAAGCCACTCTTGCTGTAACCGCTTCAGGAGACAACCAGGTGAAAGTCTTCTGCCTCCAAAGACCCGATCGGTAAAAGCCGAGACAAAAGACAAATCAAAGAGAAGAGAGAATATTTTAGGAGATGAGACTTTGTTCCCGTTCACTTTTATCCTCAGGATGTTAAAATGCTCTCGTGTGCTCCTGAATGATTCTAATCTGGTTTTTGTTGTAGGACCGTAGCAACCAAAAGATTATTGTTACTTTTTTGTTCTTTTGTCCTCATAGCACTTGATGTTTGCTTCATGGGCAGATGTTTAAGCCTCTTCAAGTAACTCTGAGATTCTTTAAAACACAATGTTTCTCACTATTTTTGTCCCAGAACACTTGTCAGTGATAAGAAAGTCAAAGCGTTGATGCATCATAGTGTCCTGACAGCCGCTGTTATGTTCTGTCCTCCAAATGAATTTAGAGATCAAACGATACAGAAAAGAGGATGATGTGTGTGGTCTCAGCTCTCAAACAGATTTTTTTTCTTTAATGTAAACTGAACTGTAAATACAAAAAATAAATAATATACTTTCTTCTTGGTAACACTTAGAACTTGTTTCTTGTGTTTGCTCCAAACTTAGTTCAAGTTTCTTACATTTATCAGTGATGACGAGCTGCATGATGAAGCATGAGGTCATTTTGATGGGAAAGCCTGCAACTTACTGGAACTTCTTTTAGTTCAAGTGGTCTCTTTGGTCTCTAGTCGGTTCAGTTTCATCTTACATCTGTTTTATCTCGAAATCAGATTTTAAAAAAAGAGGAGGATGTGAGTCAGTCTGAATAAGTCACAGCGCCCAGTGAAAGCAGATTTTCCCCAAACTGCAGCTTAGATTTAAAATAAAAGCAGGAAACTTGACTTTGAAAAGCCAAAATAATTCATTTGTTTGAGGTTTAAAAACAGATTGGATAAAGAAGTTTAATGTCACCTAGGAGCCTTAAAGCCTTCTTCTGTCTGCAATGTCCGCAATTCATTTTGTAAATAAACGTAACTTTAACATTAACCATGTCTATTGAACACTAATCTACTACTGTGCAAAAGTCTCGATGAACAGCGCTGTATCTGAAAGTCATGACCTCAAGAAATGGGAAAAGAATCCAGCAAAGACCTGAAAGATGCATGAGGACCTTCAGCTCATGCATCTGCTGTTCACCAAAGCTTCATCAGCAATGGTCTCAGTGGAAGGGTGGCTGTCAAGAAGCCATCCTTAATGAAGGGAACGGGAAGAAAAGACTGAGGTGTCCGTGGTGGAGTCGTGAATCCAAAGTTTACAGTTTTGGTTCAAATGGTGAACAAAGGTCAGGAGAGCAGGACAACCGTGAGTGTCTATAGCTGTGTGTAGGACACGGTGGAGGCTCCGTCATGGCTTGGGGCTGCACTTCAGCCAATGGTGTTGGAGATCTTGTGAAAACTGATGAAATTATGAAGAAAAGTAATGTCAGATATTGATCAATCATACGATACCATCTGGAAGGTATCTTTTATTTTTGGTACTGCAACGATCCCAAACACACTGCCAGTACATTAAAAGCATATCTGAATAGATAAAAACACAGTAAGTCAAGGATGGTCCTCTGCAGAGCTTGGACCTCACTATCATTGAGACAGTTTGGGATCATCTTGGCAGCTATTTGTGGTGGAAGACACAGCTGGATGACAACAACAGGGCTAAGGTCCAGTGGGACTTTAAGCTGCAGTCAAGACAGACAAGCAGCTGCTGGCCACCATAAAGACATAATGGTGGTTACATTATGTAACACCAGGGGCTGAAGGAAAAACTTGAACAGATGTCGAAGGTCCAAAGGGGTTGCAGTGGTAAGAGAAGTGTCAGCAGTGTTGCATGAAAAAACAAAAGCTCAGTTTAGTTTATGTGAAAGTTCCTGTAATAATTACATTTCACAGTGAAACAAGTGGCTGGTTTTCAGGCACTTTAGTAGCCTGAACCATATTTTTCACAATCAGGAAACACATTATTAGCTGACCGGCCTCTCTGTTATTAAAATAGAAAGCCAGTTTGACCTTATGTGTTTACATTAGTGTGAGACAGAGGTCTGTCACACACAAAGGTCGTGAGGTTGTACTGCATTGTTGCAGTTAGAAAGTAGGGCTAAAGGACTCAGTGCAATCACGTATTCATGAGAAAAAGATTCAGGAGTGAGCACTGAGAAGGCCGACTGGTTACCCAGATGTTAATAACTTACTGAATCACACTGGTTTTCTTCAGTTCTTCACATTCAGTTGTTCTGTTGTTCCTGCCCTCTGCTCCTCCTCTCCTCTCTCAGCCTTTCTTTAGGATGACGAAAACAAGCGTCAGCCAGTATCCTGCGCACAAGTGGTTCTTCCTTGTACCTCAGTCCTGCAGTGTTGTCTGTATCTGTGGTTGTACATGAATAACTCACCCTGACAGGCAGTCAAACAGTTGCACGCATGAACGTTTGTGCATTGTGGTACATTGTTTTGGCAGATATGATATTGGGATTTAAACCAATGGAAAAGTGCTTTCATTCTCTTTTATATTCAGGTTATAAAGTATGCAGTACAAACTGACCAGCAGATCATTTGTCACAACAGTGTATTTGGCCTTACAGGTGCAGGAGGCCAAATACAAAGGCTGGATGGATTTCCACCTTTAGACCTTGATGGGGCCACAGTTTGATATATTAAATTGCAGCTGGTATTCTGTGAGAAGTGCTGTGCTGACAACAGATGCTGAACAAATCGGCCGAGCAGAGAAAGGCAGGTGCTAATGCCAAGGTAAACATAAGTGGAGGAACAGGAGGCAAGTGACAAATCCATTAACAATACCACCTCACAAAGGCAGAGAGCAGTAACCACAGAAACAATCAGGGCCAGAAGAAGCTTCAGGAATCAGTTTATACAGGAGCTACATAACCTCAAAGATTGTTTCTTCTTTTTACTAAGAAAGGTTAAAAGTTGGCATATAAAACTTTGTAGTTCTCAATTATGAGGGTAAGGGATGTGAAAGAAATCTAAAGCTACATCATTTTTTTAGATCTACATGTAGCATTAAAATAAAAGTTATTAGAGCTCCACCCAATGTTTTTGTTACAGCTCCCCTAAATTAACAATATTGATAATGAACAATTATTTTATCTTTTTGTAATTCACCAGTATACGCAAGCATTTTAATTTAAATGTTACAAGATATCATTCTTGTTGCTATCCATGAATTTTCAAATTTACCGTTTCATAAAAAAGAAGAAAAAATTATAAAGAAGATTATTATCTTTGATTAAGATGCCAAATTACAGTTATTTATTAGATTGGTGAACAGGAAGAATAATTTTAGTTGTGAACGTTATGCATGATTAAACCTGCTCAAATTTGGGTATTAAAATAAATATTCACGTTGTTATTTGACTTATAAGTAACGATGCATGTTTTAGTTTTAAGGTTTTAACAGATTTCTAAAGTATTTATGTAAATTATATATATGAATAGTTCATTGATAAATTATGCATATTAAAATATGCAAATTCTTGGTATTCTATGACAGTTCACATACTTACCCAGCAAGGCTAGCTTTTAGCTAAGCTAGAGTAGTTAGCTTTGTTACTTTTATTTTAACAGTATCATTAATATGTAGGTGTTTCATGTATAACAAAGTGAGTTTCTATAGTGAAGAATTAAAATTGAGTTAAAAGCATTTTAAACATGAAAGTATTGAATGGTTTAGCCTGACCGTCACTCAGCTAGCTAAAGTGTCGCTGCACATTGTTATTATATCACGATTTACAATTTTGTTTGTTTGTTTGTGTGGTTCAGAGAATTAGACATATTTATGTAATATAATTTATGGTAATCCAAAAATGTATAGTAATTGCATTTTGGGTTTGTAATAGAACTCTTATAAAAAACTGACTCCATAAGAAGCAGAGCTTTTAAAATGTCAATAACATCCCTTTTTTGTATGTTGTTAAAATAATTCTAAATAAATGTTAAGTGAAAAAAATGATAGAAAGTGGAAGATGTGAAAAAAAAGTGACAAAACAAACAGAGAAGTTCCACAGAAGCCAGCTGGGCACTATTATCCCGACCACATTACATTCTTCCATTGTATATAATAATAAACCAGTAGATCATTGATTTAATGTTGAGTAGGATCTGGTTTTCCGAGAAATCCAGGATGCACCATCTTCTCATTTGTTATGTGAAGATGTTGTGCTGTCTTGTCCTCTCTGTGTAGTGTCTCTCCAGATGTCCCGGCCTCAGGAACGTTTGTGTTTAAAACCCATTATCTGATTGGAGCTCGTCCATCAATACAACCGTAGGTCTGCACAAAAGTAGAAGGGAAGGAGGACTCTGTGTTTGGCTAATAAAGCAGGTCACTTCTGGCCTTCCATCCACCACTGTGTTTAAATATTGTACATGTGTGACAGCTGTTATGAATTCTGCTGTATACACTATTGTACATATAGGTCACATCATCTTATTTTACCTTTGACCTGCTTACAAGGACTGACGGCACTGCTAGGTACCATGACAGAAACGTGACAAAATGATCTGTTTATGTCGCTTTACAAAAGAAAGGAAACAGAAATGTAAAGAACACTTGTCTCTTGTTTTTGAGCAGCAATAAAAAAAACTTATATCAAATAAAAATAACTTCAACGTATGGTTCGTTATACTGAAAACAGTAGGACTATAGCTATTTCATACCATTAAAGTTAACACAGTTCTCCTGTTGGTCAGTGCATCTGGCTGTTAGGACTGGCTGAAACTATATCTTTTTATTTACAAGGTGAATATGATTTTCACCACTGGCCACTTTGTTAGGTACATTAGTTCTGCTGCTCCTTAATGCACATCCTTAATCAGCCAATCACATGGCAGCAAATCGATACACTTAAACATGTAGACATAATCAAGAGCACCTGCAAAAGTTTAAACTTAGTGTCAGGAGGAAAGGTGATTTAGATAGCTTAAATGTGACATGGGCTGTTGTGAATATTTTACAAACTGCTGATATACTGGGATTTCAACACACAATCATCTCTAGCCTGAAAAGAGAAACTATAGAACAACAGTTCTCGTGGGGAAAATGTGTTGCAGACGTCAGAAGTCAAAGGATAACGGTGTGACTGCTTTGAGCCGAAAAGAAGGTAACTCTAACCACTTGCTACAAGCAACGTTTGTAGAAGAGCATCTTTGAATGGACCACATTTCAAATCTTGAAACAGATGGGCTACAACAGCAAACAGTGGACCACACTACTCACCACTCCTGTCAGGTAAATGCAAGAATCTGATGATACAATTATACGCAGGCTCGTCAAAATTGGTCGATAGAGGACCAAAAAAACGATCCATGGGCTGATGAGGTTTTGCTGTGACATTCAGATTTGGTAAAAACATCTTCTAAGTATGACTCCATCCAGATAACTGGAGGTGTAATGGTGCAGTGATATATTCCCTGCATGCTTGTGACCCATTAGTATCAACTGTGCCACAGCCCACCTGAGTAATACTGATGACCACAGTCTTAATGACTTCCACTGGATAACGTGCCATGTCTCAAAGCTCAG